TCCCTGCACCCTCACCTTCATCTCCACATCCCCACGTAGCTCCAGCTCAAAGCAGCCAAACTCATCCAGGACTTCCTTGGTGGCGGACGAGACGTGAATCTTCAGGGCTGGGTGGCACAGACGGGCAAAAGGGACATGGCTGGGTCTAGGAGTGGCACATGACCTGTGGCACCAGACCCCAGCAGCCAGCCCCACGGCTCACCCTGGCCATTGGATTCCATGCGGGATGCGGTGTTCACCGTGTCCCCAAACAGGCAGTACCGCGGCATCTTCAGACCCACAACTCCAGCGCACACAGGACCTGTGGGTACAGAGATACCTAGGGCTGCTGCAGGGTAGGTGGGTGAGCACACCCCCAGCCACAGTGCTGGACGGCGCGGGGCCCCACCGGTGTGTATGCCGATGCGCAGGCAGAGCTGGTCATTGGGCCGGTGCCGGATCTTGAAGGTTTTGACAGCCTCAAGCAGGGCCAGGGCCATGCGGACGATCTCGCGGGCGTGCAGCTTCCCATTGCGCACCGGCAGTCCCGACACCACCATGTAGGCATCCCCAATGGTCTCCACCTGTGGGGTCACAGAATGGTTTGGGTTGGCAGGGTCCTCAAAGATCATCTAGTTCCAACTCCCCTGACATGGGCAGGGACACCTCCCACTAGACCAGGTTGCTCAAAGCCTCATACAACCTGGCCTTGAACACCTCCAGGGATGGGGCATCCACAGCTTCCCTGGGCAACCTGTTCCAGTGCCTCACATGTCCTCTCTTTCAGCGTAAAGCCATTACTCCTCATCCTATCACTACGCTCCCTGATAAAGAGTGCCTCCCCATTTTTCCTGTAGGTCAGGGGGAGTGGGTACACCCTACGCTCTCCCCTGCCTGCTTCACTTCAGGAGGCTATGCTTGCTCACCCCTACTCACCTTGTAGACGTCAAAGTTGTCAATTATGGCATCAAAGCAAGTGTAGAGATCGTTCAGCAGCGTCACGACCTGTATGGAGCAAGGATGCATGTGGGGCTGGGAGCAGGCACGAGCCCCAGCCCTGGGGACAGCAGTGACAGAATAGGGGCCACCCTCGAGCCCTGCTCTCACCTGCATGGGGGTGCTCTCCGCCGAGAGGGCAGTGAAGCCCACAATGTCGCTGAAGTAGATGGTGACACTGTCGAAAGCCTCAGCCCGTACTGTTTCCCCACGCTTCAGCTGCTCCGCCACGGAGCTGGTGAAGATAAGGGGTAGGGCAGTGGGATCCCTTCCTCCCCAAGCCC